GCAGGGGCATTATGGACAATGATTTTAAAATTTAATAATAACGCGATCCGCTACTTGTTTGTCCCCATTTACTATACAAAAAATATATAATATATGAATATTTCTAAATGTTGCAAGTGAAAAAAGTACAAACTTTAGTTACTTTGGATTATAGAAGCTTCGGAAGCATAAATATTATTAACTACTGGTACTTCACGCTAGTTTTCAAATTAATAAAGAATTTAAAATAGTACAATTGGACTTTGCAAATATAAGCTGTGTATTATTCTAGTTCTATTTAACTATAATCCTTCCTATTGTTTTATATCAAACTAGCTCTTGACTTCGTTAAATAAAACAGCGTTAAGTTCGGTTAAAATCGGTCCAGCCATTACGGAGATTACCCGGAAAAACGCGGTCTTGCGGACAGAAAGACAGAAAATGAAAGAGAAAATACAGAAAATGTAATTTAGTTGTATACATCCCAAATACATCATGTTTACGAAATACGACAGTTTTATATAACATACACTCTAATTTTATTATCTGTATTGATGTAGATTTCTCGGAAATGTCCGATGCCATGACCCGATGTTTTAAAGGCTTCTCAGTCCTAGATTAGATGCACGTCTTTACACCCTTTACACAGAAAGGGAGCTTAGCGACAGCACGAAACCGCATCGTGCGAGATCAGGCAAATATGCTGATAACTTGCAAGGCTTCGCCGTAATCGTAATTTTGTTTACTATGTAGCTATGAGAAGTGTCAATCATTCTTTGAAGTCGGACAACAGTAACTTAACACATTCTATGTCACTACGATGTTTTGCTGAAACTGACTTCGCCAGTAGAGTTGGCGGCACTGAGAGTGTTAACAAATCTTTTGACAAGAACAAGCACATAAAATCTGATATTAACTTCAGTAATACTCAAACGTAATTTTAGTTATATGCATTTATATGTCTGTGTTATATCTGAAATCTGAGCGTTGAACGTTTTACCTAACTATAATTTTGGTATCAAGCTACAATTAAACTGTAATTAAATTGAGAAGCAAAAGGTTAGCGTGGTATGACATGTTATGTGACGAGATGATGGGGTCATAAATCGGAAAGTGTTAAGAATGAATGTGGATGGCTACAAAGGAAGAGGAAGACCGAAGAAAGTATGGATGGATTGTATGAAAGAGGATATGCTTAAGAAAGGAGTGGATTCAAATATGACGGCTGATAGAGATGCATGGAAGAGCAGCACATACTATGCCGACCCTCCGTAAGGGATAAGGGCAAGTTGATAATGATGATGATGAATTTTGGTATCAAGGTTTTATGCCTGACGTGCCTAATGTTCTTTTCTATGTAGTTTTTTTAGCATACCGCGAATTTGTTATAGTAATATTAATAAAATAAACCTACATTTTCATAATCAGGGCATTGTAATCTAGTAGAATTTTGAAATACAAGCAAATGTTGTGTTGTGTCCAGCTTACAACTCATAACAACATATATCGCTAAATGACCAATGAAATGGATGGTCTAGAAATTCAGAGATGTGCGTGAAATAAAATTCTAATACGTCTAGAACAAGTTAGAGGTGCCGAAAACCCAATTATAGTTTTCTTCTTCATGTGGTGCATGAAAGAAGGAAATACCCCTTAGACGAGTATAAAATTTTTCGTTCTCTTAGTTCAATCTGTTATATTTAACGCTGGTGTTTATTGTCAACACAATATGCACTTGACCAAGCCTAAAGAGTTAAAAACATTATGATTTTTATTGAAATTTGTTTAAGGGCCTGTCCAACCACTGGCTAATCTATAATGCCAGTGGTTTGACAGGCCCTAGAGGCAGAGGAGAGATAGAGCCTAGAGGCTCAGATAGCTTAAAAATGACGTCACTGTCAGATAAGGGAACAAAAACCGATATTTCCATCACATATTTTACACGTTAGGTTGTTAAAAGACAATTTACAATTTGGTTGGATAGGCATTTAATATTGTTGTTTTTTTTTATAATGAAAGTGGGCAAATGAGCGGCGAGAACACCGAGGTGTTCAGCGACGTAGACCACCTCGGTGTTTGTTTAACAAGTTGTCAAGGAAAAATACATCAAATGTGTATTTCATTGTAATGATGTAATTACCGGATATTCGATAGCAATTAATCAATTACTTTGCCACAGTTTGCTGTAGGTATCACTTAATATAATTATTGTAAACGTTGCGTTCCGCCATCTAATTAATTAAACGATAAACAGGCTCATTTACTTGATGACTTTTCATAAACTAATTAAAAAGTCAAACAGTAGTGTAATTGTATAACTACATATTTCCTCCAAATAAACATAGTGTCAGTGACAATGGCTAATTAATTAAATTAACTTTTGTTATCACATTGTATTCTATTTTTCGAAGATCAATTATTACTTAGTTATATTTTTACTATATGTATGATATTATATGATTAACTTGCGTATATATGGATTTACTATTCATAAGATTGTATGTAGGAAATTATTGAATAATTTAGTGAATAAAAGGAAAGTCACCACGTAAGTATAGATACTCAAGATACTCGTATATAAAATGTGTATCCGTTATCTCTACCAAGCTCTCTGATTGTATGTTGTTATATAGTAATATTTATTTTAATAGGCACATTATAAAAATGATAATTTTATTATTTGGGTGATATTGTGCTTATTTAAAAGAGGAACATACCCAGGTAACCGAAATCGTAGTAATCGTCGGTGTGGTTGTGCAAGGCGAGTTGACCGGCGTGGTCCTGGCGGGCGGCGAGTCGCGCACCATC